CAGAGGCATCAGCCTTTTAAAGGAAAAGGCCGAACTACTATGGGCTAGGATTACCATAGTAACCTCAACACCCGCTCCACGGGAACGAGGGTTCACACGGGCAAGAGAAAGCAGGCTCAAGAAAAACAAATTAAACACTTGCAATCCTTAAAAAGGAACAAATGTTATCTTTCAAAAAGCCAGTGGGCCATGGCTGGCTTCCCACAGTCCTCCAAGGGAGAGCAAGTACTTGGACACAAAGGGCTTAGTGTCTTCCTCTCTCCTTGCTCATTGTATTCTAACTCTCCTTGGTGATTTTCTGTCTCCAGGTTGCCCTGCAACCCCTGTGCCACCACCAATGCCTGCGACAAGCCCATAGGACCCTGTGTCGCCAACCCCTGTGTCCCTCGGCCCCGGTGTGGGCCTTGTGGCCCTTTTGGGCACTAGTGGCCCTGCTGCCAGGACAAGGACAAGGGCTTCCGCTGCATCTCAACTCCAGCTGCCTCATGATCGTCCACAGTGACTACAGCGCTGGTAGCGGGGGTCAGTGACAGCCTTGGTCTGTGTCCTTGCAGCTCCCTCTGTGAGCTTGTGACCTCGCCGTCCATCTCTCGAGTCCTGCAGAGAAAGCTGTACTGCGATCGACCTGTTATGCTTTCACACGGCTCCCTCACTGTGATTCGGGAAGTGTGTGGGTGACGGGTGTGTGTGTGAAATGGGACACAACTGGAATTAATATTTGTCACGGGTTTTGGTGTCTGTGATGTAAGCCAAACCCTCCAGTCCTCGTAATAAACTCTTATTCCGGCATGAAAACTGTAATGGTTTCTTCCATGAATTCCAAAAGTGGAGTCTGGGGTCAGGGTTTCCCGTCAGGCGGAAGGATCTTTTGCCCCTAAAGCGCGGTTTGATGATCTCTAGGGGGAAGTCTTCCCCCCGCATCACCTGCTGGTCTAAAGCAGCAGCGAGAAGATGACACAGTGGGTGACAGTGCTGAACCGGGTGATGTTATTACCGTGGTTTCTCCGGGAGAAGTGTTGGAGTTGAGACGCTGAGGTGAACGGTGAGAAGAAACAGCCCAGGAGGAAGAGCATTCCAGACACGGGCAGCAGCCAGGCCAGAGGGAGGGCCAGGGAGCGGGCTGGCTGCTGCCCTTCGGAGCGTTGGAGAGCTTTGGGTGGCCGCTGACAGGAACGAGTCAAATGTGCCGTTCTGTTTTGTTTCAATTGCCAAAACCCTAGCAGATCCACTCAGGCTGTGGCCTGTGCCTGGGCACCCTGTGCCTGGGGCAGCGTGCGGAGGCTGCCTGCTTTCACACTCACTTTTCTTGCCTGCAGGGACATGTGCGCGCGTGCAGTCTGGGAGGCGGGGGTCAGGGACAGCCTGCAGATTCCCCAGTGGATGGCGTGCTTACAAGAAATTCAACGCTGGGCTGAGCAGTGGCCGTTGGCCTGCACGCAAGACTTAATGGGACAGCACTTTGTGGTGGCCCCGAACATGTGTGTTTAAAGCTTTAAAATGATTAAAAGGAGAAAAAGACACAAAGCAAGAGTTAGAAATATCTTGGGTTTGAAAATGGCTCCTCCGTTTCTATCTGAGCTGTAGCTGTCTGGATCCAAGGCCCCCACATGTTATTGGGCGTTTCTGAGTTTCAGTTTCTTAAGCTGCAGAATGGAGGGAATAATGACCACCTCACTGGTTTAACATGTTTTAAAGAAATAAAGGATGGACTGGAAACGTGGGTAAAGGTGGACCCAATGCCCAACACGCAGCGAGTGCTTGTGAAGTGAAGTTTACTTCCTGAGTGGCCTCTGGGAAGTTGCATTCCGTGTTCTGACCCCTTTCCTACTGCTCGGGACGGGGAGGCCACAGCCGCCCTGCACCCCTCGGTCCCCAGACGGGGACTCATGCCCCAGTTCTGTCTGGTGAGGCCTGGCAAAGAGGCGGCATGGGGCGAGTAACACAGGGACCGGAGGTCCAGGGCCAAAAGCGGGACGGAGAGGAACCAGAAGTGGGAGCACACGCCCACCCACGCCTGGATGTGCACCCACGCGTGTGAGCCGTGTGCGCACATGGCTGCATGGTGTCAGCAAGGGCCTGCATGCCCGTGGTGTTTTCACGGATGGCAGCGATCAGGCTTTTTCAATGCGAAGATAAAAACAGCCCCAGTCTGTCAGTGTGGAAGTGACTGGTTTTAGGCAAAGGAGGGGCGGCTGGATTGTGCTTAACGTCTGTTTTCTGCACAGGAAAGCAGTAATTAAGTTTGTCACCCGAGACCTAGGGAAAACGCAGTGTGTTTGTATGTGGTTCTCGCCGTAATCTCAGACCTGCACCTGCTGGCCCCACTGCTGCTTGGTTAGTTGTGGGGTCTGGCGGGAGGCTACATGCAGAAGACAGCGCGAGGAAAGCGGGATGGTTAGTGGAGGAGGAGGAGGGACGAAGAGGGAGGGGGAGGAGCAGGGGAAGCAGAGAGAGGAAGCAAGGAGGACTAAGGAAGGCAGGGAAGAAGAGAGGAAAGCCTCTTGCCGCTGCCTTGAGCCACTTGTAAATTGTCAGCTCCTTTACCATTTGGTCTGTGGCCCCCAGTTGCTC